TGGAAAGCATCAGGAAAAGGGTTAGTAAGGTAAAATTAGTAGATCTGCTTATCCGACAAGTTAAAGAAATTGTTTTCTATAAATTAATTTATTACATGACATAATTCTGTGATAGAGTTGTCACGATACTGGAATTCGGTACCAATTGATACTGAAGTTTGAGCGCTACTGAGCACTTTTTTAAACGGCGCTGATTTGCTGTTGTGTTCAGGTGCTCAACAGAAATGAAGTGCTGATTTGCCTTTGTGTTCTCATGACTGTCATTGGCCATGAAGTTCATCAGTTCACCGAACTCACCGCTGTTTACTCAGTGTAATTACAGATACAGGGACACTGGAGTGTTTCAAAGTCACGTCGATCAGTTGGTTTGTCTATAAGCTGACATACACGTGACCCACTGATGAATCGCAGCTTTAAAATGCTCCAGTGTCCCTGTATCTATGGTTACGCTCAGTAAACAGCAGTGAGTTCGGTGAACTGATGCACTTCACGGCCAATGACAGTCATTTCACACAACGGCAAATCAGCGCTGTTTAAGAACATGCTCAGTAGTGCTCAAATGTCAGCAAGAAATGGACGTTTTCAAAACTTCAGTAATGATTGGAACTGAATTCCAGTATCCTGCCACCCTATTCTGTAAAGCTTTTAAAGTTTAACTTAGTGACTTAATTTATACTTACTTTTAAAGACACAAGCTGATAAAATAGCCACATTTTGTGACAGTAAAATTTTATACACCATGAATGAGTAGAAATGTTTAATTTTACAAGCGTTGCCATGACAGCATAGTAGTGCTATTTCAATTAGCAAGAATAAGCATACTACGTAGAAAGATCCTGTCAGTGCGTTATTTGAGTGGCTTTGCTTTTCCGGTGAACGTGGTCTTTTTAAAGTTTACTTGTAGGTGAGCAGAAAATCCCCAGACTGAGTCATTTTGAACTTTGACCACAGTGTATACACAAGCTAATCATTGAGTATATTTACTTGGACACCAATAATTCGATTTTAATGCAATTAAAGGCCGGCTCACACTGTGGTTATTTGTTTTGTCCAGATCGATTGAAGCACGTTAAACTGCACAATCATGGTTCCCATTTCACACTGTAAGATTTCAGCTGTCATAAAGTCAGACTGAACGACAATGAAGATGGGGAAAAACACACACACACACACACACAAAAAAATGCTCCTGGAGTTTGACGTCATCTTCCTGTGGCAGTTTCAATATGCCTCGTTCTGAAATGATTCCTCACAGTAAATGTAAACAATCTGTAGCAGCAATTTTGTACACAGCGTGCCTCAGTAATAAAACCAGGAAGAAAAAAACTGTTCTGATATTTCCCCACGGTGATTTTAGTTGTCGCATAGATTGCATCATCAAATTCGGAGCTCCTATTGGTTATTAGATTGAAGCTCGTCAAAGCTGTTGTCTTTCTGCAGGAAAGTGTCTGAAATCATCTGATACTGCCAGAACTTCATCTGAGAAAAAATCTGATCACAACAGACATTAAGCAGCTATCTGTGAACATGTCAAACCAACGATCAAAGATCACAAATTTTAGTTTAGGACTTTGAAAATCTTGTAGGATTTGCTAAATTTGTCTCAGATGACAAAATCGTAGCTGAAATCTCACAGTGTGAGCAGGGCATAAGACAATGCTCTGATTAAGAGTCTACCAGTTAAACTCTTACAGTCGTGTAGGATTTTCACCGCATTTTGCGACAAGATTCTTCATGCACACATGGCTGTTTGACACTATTCTCTGCACATACTGAGTCAGTGAAGGACCACAGAAACCTGCTGAAAATGTGAAATGCTGAGCTCCCCCCATACAGTATGAGTATCAAATGCCATTAAAAAACACTCTTCCAGCAGTTCATACTCTCATCCAATATCTTGGTCATGGGGGGCATGCATGAAATGTTCTGAAAGTGAAACTGCAGTTTAAGTCAAAAAATTAAAAATGAAACGCCCAAAATAACATGAAACTGTAGGAAATGTGCATAGCGTGATGACACAACAACATTATCTGCTATAACATGAAAAACGGGATCATGAAAGGAACATTCAAGAAGCAACTTATGTAAACACCTTAATAATATTATTGTCTTATTCAGATTGAGGTAATATATTTGATTACTGATGTCCATGTAATTGTAGTCACTGATGTGTTTGGCTGTCTTTGCTGGCATAGCATTAAAAGCCATTTAAATAAATGGGTTTCTTAGAGCATCGCTTTCCATGTATTGTGTGAAAGCAGCTTCAGACCACACATCGACTATGGCTGGATAGAGAGTGAAACTAGCAATCTGGGCAGTAAAGTGTTTAGTGTACAGTGTCATGTATAATATAGTGGCACAGCATAGACATATTTCTGCTTATATATTTGGCTATTTGTCTGTTTTAACTAAAAACCAAAATAAATGTGTTTTTGGTTGGACTAATATTCCTTGCTTTTGAAAAATGTAAGCATTGGAAAGTATATTAATCAATCATTGTGAATAGCCCTATGGATGGAAATGTAAGGAAATAAATTTGATGACAGATAATAGCAAACATTTAAAAGAAATTCTCTGTATATCTTGTTCGGAGTGTGATTTATTACGTGTCCTGAACTAATTTTCATAATGAGTCTAAAAAATTTTTGGCTAGACAGACATTTAGCTGAGTAGTGTTTAATAATTCTGTGTCCTTAAATTGTTGACGTTGCCTTCAGCTGTGTGTGTTATTAGGAAAGCGGATTTTTAATTGCATGCGTTGCTGTTGGGTTTAATTTTTCCTGATACTTCTTTAGGCATTTTATGCTGAGACATTAGACGCCCTTTAGAGCATGAATCATAAGCTACAGACACATGTTTTAAATCGCCCTAATCCATCTTAGACTGGATGGGGTTTTAGTGTCGTCTCTTGAAATATTTTTTTCAAAGAGGGAGCGTTTATTCCCGTTTCAGTAGTTCATCATCATCATAAGTGTCCTCATTATTGTAATCAGCCAAGGCAGTGGATTCTTTGTCCAGATGGGCAAGTTGTTCCTTTTCAGTAACCAGCCTTGTATTGAGAGGTTTGTAGATGCGTGTATGTAAAAATGAGACTCGGCTTACATCAGGCTGAGGTGACTGATCAGGTGAGATATCAATGTTTAGCATGACTTTTTTTCCTGTCGGAAGTTTTACATTTAATGTGTAGAAACAGTATACATGTAAGCATTGTGTTGAATCTCTGTCTAGTTTCTTTCAGTTTAGTCTCTGCACTGACCTTTTCATCGAGATAAGATTTTTTATCTGGGACATTGATTTTGTGCAGATGTGACAATCTTATGGTTTGTTATTGGTGCTTTCTCTTTTTATTAACACTTGAAACAGTTATGGTATGATTTCGGGTTGAACAATGTATAATTTGAGAATCGATATCACAATGTAATGCATCTGCATTAGTCACATCACATGATTTGATTATTTATTAAAGATTAAAAATAGAGATATTATTATTATTTTATATTGTTGTTTAAAATATTTATACGGTCAGTGATGTTGTTTTATGTTTAATTATTCAATTTATATATTTCAATACTGTTATTTCAATATTGTTAGACTCCCCAGAACTTAAAAGAACTATTTAACTTTTATTTTTGGTCTGTAGTTTTAATACATATTTATTATATTTTATGCAGATGCACTGTGTAGAAAAAGGCTTGATCAATCCTGTCAATCTAATTATGAATTTTTTCCAATAGAGCTAGTCATCTGGAGAAATTATATTCATATTCATTGTATATCACAGCAAAACAAAATATTGCAATGTCAGATTTTTCCAATAGCTTGCAGCCCTAGTATGATTTGAAATAAATACACAATGGAATGTAGTCTTGGAATGATGGCATGATGTCACTGCCGTTGGAAGGATGGTCTGGTCTGTAAATTGGGAGCTAGTGTTCAAATTTTGAACATTTTATGCTTTGTCTAAAATCTCTTTTGTAATATGTGAAGAGCTTTTTGGTTGGAATAAATGTTATGTTGCTACTACATCAGGCTGCACGGTGGTGCAGTGGGTAGCACATTCGACTCACAGCAAGACGGTCGCTGGTTCCAGCCTCAGCTGGGTCAGTTAACTATTCTGCGTGGAGTTTGCATGATCTCCCCGTGTCTTGTGGGTTTCCTCCGGGTGCTTCGGTTTCCCCCAGAAGTCCAAAGACATGGTATAGATAAATTGGGTAAGCTAAATTGTCCGTAGTGTGTGTGTGGAATGAGTGTGTATGGATGTTTCCCAGTGATGGGTTGCAGCTGGAAAGGCATCCGGTGCGTAAAACGTATGCTGGATAAGTTGGCGGTTCATTCTTCTGCGGCGACCCCAGATTAATAAAGGGACTAAGCTGAAAAGTGAATGAATGAATGGTCTGTTAATTTGTCAGTTGATGGGGGCGGATTTATTTAGTCGCAGGGGTGTCAAACCCCTGCACAGTTTAGTTCCAACCCTGCTTCAACACACTTACCTGTATGTTTCAAACAAGCCTGAAGGACTCGATTAGTTTGAACAGGTGTGTTTAATTAGGGTTGGAACTAAACTGTGCAGGGCTGCGGCCCTCCAGGAACTCAGTCTGACACCTGTGATTTGGTGTTATTTCATTTTTTTTTGTCTTTTTTTTTGGTCAGTTTTGGATTTATCAACAGATTTTATTTATGCTTGTTTTGCTTATTTTTGCATTTAGATTCCATTTAATAAATTTCAGTTTATGACTATATAATTTAGACAATTTTTTTTATAAAAAAAAGTTTAAAACATAATAGTAATAAAACATTGGTGAACTTTGGTGTGTATTATTTTATAATATGCTCTACTATTTTAGATTCAGTTAGATTGTAAAAAAAAAAATTAAATTAAGCAATTTGCTCTTAAAGTGCTTATAAATTATTAATGCTGATATTTCTAATTGTGTAGATGTCGCTAGAATCTCTAAATATGTATAAAATAAGTTTAATAAATATTTTTGTTTGATTTTCAGATCATCAGAAGCTGGAACGAGAAGCTCGAATCTGTCGTTTGCTGAAACACCCTAACATCGGTAAGCTGTTTACCTTCACCATGTAAATTTTAATGGTTTGTTCGTAGACAAGTCGATTATACTTTCAGTTCAGATGAATATTGTGTGATGTTTTTACAGCCATAATAAAACCAGATTTCATTTGTTCTTCTCTTTTTCTCTTCAGTCCGTCTGCATGACAGTATATCAGAGGAGGGCTTCCACTACCTACTCTTTGATTTGTAAGTGTCAGTGCACTTCCTGCTAGAATGTTCCTCCATTTCCTGTCATCAAATTAGCTTTGACGCGAGGAACAGCGCAGCTTAAAGTGATTCATCCCTCATGTGAAATGTGCTTTGGAAGCCTTTTATCGGCTTTCTGCTTTTCTGCACTGTAAAAGGAATAGTTCAGGCAAACATAAAATTACTGTCATCATCTGCTCATCCTCACAACACTGGATAAAGATACAAGTTACAGCTGTTTTCAGGTCTTCTTTAAGCTGTTCTGTGAATTTTCGGATCCATATAAATGATTGGTCATAGTAAGTGTGTGTTAGGAAAATTTGTCAAAAACTACTACTTAAATTATTAAAAATGTTTTTATTATTTTTTAATAAAAAAATTTTTAAATTAGGATGTGACCTGTTTAATTTTAATGTAATAAATTTTTAAGCTAAATTGTGTGCAGCCGATGAAAATCTTTGATCAAATTAGCTTGAATAAAAAAAAGGGTATAGAAATTTTTTGAACATTAGGATGTGACCTGATTAATTTAAATATAAATACCTTTTAAGCTACAAATAATAATTATTATGCAGTTTTACTGTGATTTACTGAAGACACACACTCATTTTATTCAGTTTAGCAAGTGTTCGTATGCCAGGATTGTGGTTAAAACAAGAATCTGTTAATGATCCCAGTGCAGCTCAAAAATTCTAAATTTAATTCATTTATAAATATATACCCACATTATTATTACATTTTTAATATGCTCATACTTGTTTTATTACGCTTATGCTTGTTTTAGTACTCTTATACTTGTTTTAGTACGCTCATACTTGTTTTAGTAAGTTTAATTTATTTATAATTTATATTTTTAGCATTTTCTTACAGTTACTGAAATTAAAAATTAGCTTTTTTCAAACATGTGAGCACCCACACGAACACGGGTAGAACATGTAAACTCCTCACAGAAACGCCATCAACTGACCCAGCTGGGGCTCGAACCAGTGACCTTCTTGCTGTAAGATTCCTGCAGATTTTAGCCTTAACCCTAATCAAACACACCTGAACAAGCTAATCAAGCTCTTACTAGGTATACTTGAAACACCCAGGCAGGTGTGTTGAGGCAAGTTGGAGCTAAACCCTGCAGGGCACCGGACCTCCAGGAACGAGATTGGTGACCCCTGCTGTAAAGCGACAGTGCTAACCACTGAGCCACCGTGCCTCCTCTTGTTTTAGTTAACAATAAAAAAACTGATTTACTGCATTCCTAGCAATGTAAAGAATTAAATTTATGTGAAATATCCCTTTGAGAATGCAAACACTTCAAGAGCTATAATTTGTAACAATTGAACTTGAACATGGCGTGAGAGTGGCGATTGCAGAATAGCAAGAAGCTCGCTGGTTCGAGCCATGGCTGGGTCAGTTGGCATTTCTGTGTGTAGTTTGCATGTTCTCCCCACAGTCCAAAGACATGTGCTATAGGTGAATTGGGTAAGCTAAATTGTCCGTAGTTTATGTGTGTAAATGCAAAAGATTATGGGTTTTTCCCAGTATTGGGTTGCAGCTTGAAAGCCATCCGTGGCTTAAAAAACGTGCTGGATAAATTGGCGGTTCATTCCACTGTGGCGACCCCTGATTAATAAAGGGACTAAGTCAAAAAGAAAACGAATGAATGAATGGACTTATTAATCATCAATAACACAAATAATGAATGTATATATCTAGTTAAATAATTACATGGTGGATTTATTTGTCAAATGCATTCTAAAGTTTGTACTAACACTGTGAAATCAGACCTGGAATGTCAAAAATGTTTAGTGCCACCTCAAAAAGCAAGAAAAAGCATACCGTCTTAGAGAATCTTAAAAAGCCTTCGGTTTTCACAGTTCTGGCTTTCTGAGGAACAATTTTGCATTGGATTTTGGTCTCCATGGAAACTGAGCTGGAGAAGGAGATGTGCGCTAGATCAGGAATTCTCTGCGAATTAGCGAACAACCAGTCTGAACTTAACCTGTGTTTCAGGGTAACTGGAGGGGAACTGTTTGAGGACATCGTGGCCAGAGAGTATTACAGTGAAGCAGACGCCAGGTAAGAAACACTTTTCATTCTGTTTCTTTTTTCTTTAAGTTTCTACCCTTTCTTCTCCTCTATCATTGTTCCCAGCCTGTTGCACCCGTCACCACAACATACACATTCACTGTTAGTTTGTTTTGCATTGGGAGATGCTATTGGAAATAACATCTCCTGCAACATATAGATCTGTCCAACGCACTCTAAAGTGAAATGCGACCTTTGGTCTTAAAAAAAGTTGGAACGACAGGACTGGACACTAACATTTGTTTGAGAAAACGAACTGTTGTGCGTCGTCCAGGTGCTTTGTGTGCACTATGTAAACAGAACTATTCTGGAGTGTTGCTGTTGCGTCTTTTGTCTCTCTGTTTCTAGATATGTCTTTTTTTTCCACTGACCTGTCTCTGTCTTTTCATCATGCATTATTTTCTCTCCCTCTCATATACACAAACACCTGCTCAAACAAACACTGACACTGCCTTCCGGCAGGCCATTTTATTCAGGCTGACCTTTACTGATCCCCTTTCTCTGTGTGCGTGTGTATGTGTGTGTTTGTGTGCAAGCGTGTGCGTGTGCGTGTGCGTGTGCGTGTGCGTGTGCGTGTGCGTGTGCGTGTGCGTGTGCGTGTGTGTGTGTGTGTGTGTGTGTGTGTGTGTGTGTGTGTGTGTGTGTGTGTGTGTGTTACCAGATTAGTTACTGTAAAGGTGTTAGTCCTGAGCATTATCACTTCATGGCATCAAGTCCAAATATATACACTTACTGGCCACTTTATTAGGTACACCTGTCCCGCTGCTCGTTAACGCACATTTCTAATCAGCCACTTACATTGGAGTAACTCAATGCCTTTAGGCACGTAGACATGGTCAAGAGGATCTGCTGTAGTTCAAACTGAGCATCCCAATGGGGATGAAAGGGGATTTAATTGACTTTGAACATGGCATGGTTGCTGGTGCCAGACGGGCTGGTCTGAGTATTTCAGAAATTGCTTGTTTACTGGGATTTTCACGCACAACCATGTCTAGGGTTTGCAGAGAATAGTCCGAAAAGAGAAAATATCCAGTGAGTGGCAGTCCTGTGGGTGTAAATGCTTTGTTGATGCCAACTTGCTACTAGTAAGGTGTACCTAATAAAGTGGCCGGTGAGTTAAGTTCTCCATAATGACTCAGGCTTTATTCATTCTGTTGGTTTTTGTAACTAGGCCTGTCACAGTCTTGTTGAGTGATATATTGTCACATTAATTATTGCTATAAGTTCTATTATTGTCATTTTAGCACCATTTTATGCACTATGTAGGATTACACAACAGACTAATAATGCAAATAATAATAAGGACAAAAAACTTCTCATTCTTAAGGTTATTTAAATTTCCCAATATAAGCACTGAAACTGGTGATGTAGAATGATTGTAAATGTTGTGGTTAAGTGACTTTAAGGTTATTTGTGAATGTGTATCGTTTTGCATTGTCACTTTTATGGAAGTGGACTTTAAAACCAGGGACAATTGACCTTTTCCTCAGCTGTCAGTGAACATTGTTTCTGAAAGAGTTATCTAAACTCGCTGACACCCCCAACAGAGATTTTTATGTAAACATAATGGGTAATGTATATTGCATCATCAAAATTTATTGAGGTAATGCCCATATATTCTGTGATATAATATTGACTATTGTGACAGGCCTATGTGTAACATTCACTAGGAGTCTCTCTTTTGACCCAGTATTTCTGATATTGGGGGAATTATATAGTAGTTAAACATTATTCTTCTTAACTGAAAGTCTTAATAGAGATAGCTGGGTTTTTGACACTTAGCCTCTTTGTACTGTATGTGTGTCATGTGGCATCATTTTTGTACTTTGTAAATATATATTTTTTAATTTGTAGGTTTTCCCAAGGTTGCATTTATTTGATTAAAACACAGTAAAAACTGTAATACTGTAAAATATTATTACCATTACAATTTTTGGGGGGAATTTGAAAATGGAATTTTAGTCAACTTTACTCCAGTCTTCAGTATCACTTGGTCCTTCAGTAGCATTTTAATATATCTAAGTATTTGTATATAGCTTGTTTTTATGTTTAATTGTTGAATTCTTATGTAATATTTTAAAACTGATAAATATACATGTGCTTTAGAGGTATATGGCTGTATATCGACACTGGTGGGAGATGTGCGCTGGCTTAAAGCCACAGGTCGAGTGCCTTATTGTCAACATACAGCTATATTGCACTGCTACTCATGTGATATTACATTTATACAACAGTTCGACGGCACAATCATGTAAATAAAAAAAAAATCAAACACAGAAAGTCTCAAATCCTGTTGTATTAAGAACTACTTTCTTCCGCCATTCATTTACATCTGCAGCTGACATCAGAACTGGAGAAACTATTGCCAGCTCAGGAACTTCACTTGAGTGCTAGTATTTGAATGATTCTCTAGCATAATGTCCAAAGTGATGACAAAACATTGGGGTCATTTTTGCTCACATTTTAAGATTAGAAGGCTGAACAGCATGAAATGCCGTCAGTCTACAAAAATATCCTCCAGTATTTCTCTGTTGCATTCAGGATTTCACAATAATTATTCCTGAAAAAAAGCCAGAATAAAGCAAACACTACCAGTTTCCATGGTATAAATGGAGCGCTACAAAATACAAAGAAGAGAGATCGACTCAGAAATGTCACTTACCTGATTTGAGAAAATGCTGTTTTTCTCCCTTAAGGACTTATTATGCTGTCTCTGTCACCAATCGTCACTTTCTTTGGTTTGCTCAGACAGGCTGAAGGTGGCAGATGCGCTAAATTCGATGCTCCGAAATTATAAATATTGAAAATAGGCACTATCCTTTTAAAATCCACCGTGTAGCTGCCATCTAAACAACTGCATTCTCGCCTAAAAAGCATGAAAAGTACATTATGTTGGCCAACAGCAGCAATATTTGTCAAACTGTAGTGTCCTCTGCTTGTACAGTATTTTTTTTCAGTGAGTAGTTTCTTGTTAATGATACAGCATTTCATGGTCTGCTAGTTTGTACAGAGTGAACTTCCAATTGTCTGATTAGATTGCAATATCTGATCTGTTATCAAGGGCTGCAGGTTCAGTCTGCTGTTTTTCCAGGATAAAGCAGAGCTCCTGAACCCTCCCTGTTTTCAGCTGTCACCGTTATTAAAGTTGAGCAATGTGCTTCTGTGCCTGTGACCCAGCTGTTAGTTACCGCATTACACTTGAGCTGAGTGTCTGCTAAAGGCCAGTTTACACTCTTCAAGTGTACTTGCATGTTGCGTTTACAGTGTAATTACTGCAATTACATGTGGTATATTTCACAGGGCCTCTTATAATGGGAATCTATAAAGCACAGGATAGCCTCTTGAGACGAAATTATAGGCCGATAATGGTGTCTGTTTGAGTTAAGTGCTGGCTTCCATTCCCAAGATATCCATCAAATAAAGTGTTGGTTAATGTAGCACACTTGTGAATGTGATATTGCTTTTGTACACCGCTTATATTTTAGATAATAATACAATAATTATTATTTATTATATTTGTTTTAGCATGTTAATAAAAAAAATATATAATATTTGTAACATTTCTAATATAGATTTTAATTTATATGTATTAATTATACAAGTCTTCTATATAAATGTATTGTTCAGATTAGCAAATATATATGTTATGTAATAAAACTGAAAGCATAAAAACTATTTTTTATTTGTAAAAATTTTGGAAGATGTTTGATGATGATTATTGTTATTAATAATTTACTATTAAATTATCAGTTAAATGTAGGGGTGTAATAAATATTTTAGTATTAAACAATTCATCATAAGGCTTTTGGTCTCAGTATGCATTACTAACGAATTACTGGTCGTTTACGCTTATTTGAAAAACAAAGAGAAAAAAGTGAAATAATATGATGTCTTTAGGTCCATTGCACTCAACAATGCAACAATTTAACTCTTTCTCTAACTGTCGGCACATTTTAACAATTTTAATGCTGCTGGCATTATAAAACGCTGTAGGTGACATTGTCATATCAAGCAGATCTGTGCTGTGTTGGCAGTGATTAAAAGCATAATGTAAAAAGGTTATTTACTCTGCTGTTGTATATAACTACTATAATTTGACATTTTTAAAAAAAGTAGTTTTTTGTTTTATATGCTGGAATGAAAACACCCCAGAAGATGGGTCAAGTAAAGCTTCATCATTGTTTAAAGTAAATGATCATGTTGTATACTACCTGACAAAAGTCTTGTCCAGTTGTAAGAGCAACAAAAAATAACTTTTAGTTGATCACTTGGAAAAGTGGCAGAAGGTAGATTTGTCTGATGAATCATCATTTTCATCTCTATCCTCGCAAATACTGCAAATCAGCAGGATATCGCTCCTTTTCATACTTCAGCCTCCACACTAAAGTTTCTGAAAGCAAACAAGGCCAAGGTACTCCAGGATTGGCCAGCCCAATCACTGGACATGAACATTATTGAACATGTCTGGGGTAAGATGGAGGAGGCATTGAAAATGAATCCAAAGAATCTTGTTGAACTCTGGGATTCCTGCAAGAACACTTTCTTTGTCATTCCAGATGACTTTATTAATAAGTTATTTGAGTCGTCCAAGCTCATGGGAGTCATACACATTATTAATTTTTTTTCAATTGCACCATGACTTTATATTCTATACTGTACATTATTTTTGTTAAGTGACAAGACTTCTGTCTAAGCAAAGTCAGACCTTTCTGTCCTAATTAAGTAAATAAAAATCTAGGGATGATCATATTTTATCTTGGTCAAATAAGCGTAATCTAGAGGTCTTTACAGTACCTTTTATATAAGCCACTTCTGATACCAAATGATAAATTAGAAGCCAAGTTATTATTTGTTGTTCCTAAAACTTGAATAGGCGACAAGACTTTTGTTGGGCAGTGTATGATCTGAATTTTAATAAAAAATATTTTGTAAAAATCAATGATTTTAAATTTTTGCTGTATCAACAGTGTATAGATCAATGATCTTTGCCTTATAAAATCTGGGTTTTGGTGAACCAATACACTCAAAAAAATAAAATATATAAATGTGTTACTTTTTAAGTAAGGTAAAATTATGCATTATTTTTGCATTTTTAAGATTGGTTTATTGTAATATATTTAGTATTGCCAGTGTAGCTTTGCCCTACACTGTACTGCTCTCCAGATATATTATTCGAAGGCGGTAAATGTGTGTCGTTCTTAGGAATGGATGAACAGAAACATCTCCTCTTCTTCTCTAGCTCTGGTCTCCTGCTGACCTGCTTCTGCACACCTGCTGTCTGTCCCTCTTTCCATTCTTCCTCTGTTCCTTATGAAGCCCTGCAGTCGTGCTGTGCGCTGCCCCCTGCCTCCGCAGAGAGAGCCAGAAACTAGGCCTCCAATTAACACACATAATTAGGGCCTCATTTTCTCCCCCTCCTCCTCCCTTTCTCCACCTGTCTCTCCCTCTCTTTCTGTCTGCCTTCTCTCTTTTATTCACATATTCTAGCTCTCTCTTTCTGTGTGATAGTGTCACTGACACCTTCTCCACTGTGTTGTAGCTCTTTTTTGTTGGATGTGTGACAGAAAAGAGGGTATGACGTGCTTGTGAATGGAAACAAGCCCAAGCTGCAGTGATTTAAATCGGCTGAAAGACTTTACTCATTTGTAATTTCTGGTATGTATCAATAAGCGATTAATTGAAATTGAGCAGACTCAAAATTTTTGAGTTGCAAAAAGTGGTAGTTTGTTAGTTGTTTGTTTTTTTTTTTTGTAATTTGAAACCGCTTGTTGCTCAGACCTTTTATCAATTTAGCTTAAAAGAAAAGATCGCAGTGTGAGCTAAAGTGAATGTATTTACTACACTAAAGTGTCACAATCATGAGACCAACTAAAAATTGTGAGACTTTGGCCCCCTTTGCACTGCCAGTTAAAATGCGACCCAAAAAACACATGCATTTGGATATTCAGAGGTCAGCCTCCTTCATATGTGGAAAAAAATCAGATATAAATCTGATATGTAACAATGCAGCTATCATGTAAACAGGCAGATCGGATTTATTGAGGCATTCCATTTTGTAAGCCATTAAACTTACCACAATGTGATACTTTTCCGCGATTCAATGACGTAGAAAGAAGAGCGTGTGTGGAGATGTTGACGAAGGAGGAAACAGGAGAAGGAAAGTGGTCAGTCGTCACAATTTGCTCCCACCAGACCTGAGATCTGTCCCTCGTACCCACAAATACCTCTGAATAGTGGAGGACACCATATATAAAACATAGGCGCAAGCTGCGATGACGGCCTATTCACTCCTCCTCCTCCACCTCAAAATCATTTAAAGCTAAAATTCACATATTTCGCAGAGCTAAAAGGAAGACAATTTCTTCCATCTTGGCTAGTGTGGCACAGATGCTAAAACCTGCCTTAACGCATGCGTTACCCCGTCGTAAATCGTCTGGCAAGTTTAAACTCATGAATTGGATATGGGTCACAATTAAAAGAATGTGTAAACGGACAGGCTAAAATCAGATGTAGGCAACAAATCAGAATTGGGCATCACCTTAGTGATCACACACACTCGTATGAGCATAGTGGTTCCAATACAATCACATAAGTATATCATTTTAACTAGTTTAAAGACAAATTAATCATAGCTGGATTCTTCTCAGCACCTGTGCAACAATATTCCAGTTAAGACTTAATTAATAATGAACTTTATGAACTATATATATTAATTTCATTAATGGCGATTATCATGCCATTAATTCGATTCAATTTGATATCTCGGTGCATTGACGATGCTTTCCATACACAATTTTATATTTTACAGCACAATAATTCTTGTATTAATGTATTAATATATTCATATACTATTTGTAATACAATTTTGTCCTTTAATGCAAACAGTCAGATATATGAACTGTACGTTTAGAAACTCAAATACATGCACAGATGATCATGAGCATTTATAGCAAAAAAAACCAAATGCTTTCTGAGCCTTGTCGAGCGAGTTCTTACACCCCTATGATTTGTCACATGCTCAACAGAAAGGGCTGCAATTGGCTCTAATGCTATGACGCTGTTCACCAATGAGTGACACTGATAAACGACAACAGCAATCATAGATGATCTATGATAAACTTGGAGGAGAAAAACTCACTCTGCAGACACATGCTCTTACAAAAATAACACTTTTACAGCCGAGGGGTGAGGAAATGTTACCTCACGTCAGCAGGTCAAAGGGGCCACAGTGAGAGAGAAATGAAGTTTACTTTCATTTTCTTCATAACAGTGAAACAGGGCTTTTGCTGGAACTTCAGTGTCAGCGAAAGACTGTCCAGCAAACACTCACGCAGTGAATTGTGCAGAGTTTCTGTTTTAGAGTGTTTTAATTACTCGTGGCCTCGTCCCTCAGCGTAGAAAACAAATGCAATAAACCACATATGAGATAAAAGCATGTTGTATGAGTCTGCATCGCGGTGTGTCGAAGAAACATTTAATTTTGACACCCCTAATTTGAATGCACCAACATGAAAATTTGGTGCCGTAACCAAAGATTCTGGATGAAAATGCGTTTTATTAATTACTTATTATTTAGTTAAATGTTATAAAGTAACCTTTTAAGTCTAAAAAACACACAAGCCATTAAATAAGCAATTTTTATTGACCAGTGCAGTTTTATAGAGGTCAGGAACATGTGGTAAGCAACGCAAGGCATTCTGGGTGTTTAGGACAGGGCAGCCTTATTCCCATTGATCTCTATTGATTTTTGGTGTCATATATACACTCGTCAGTAACAAACTGTAAGTGCTAGTACTACAGGTAATGAAGAAAACCATATCAGGAACTGTTTTCTAGTAGCAGCTTGTTGATGCTCTGTCGTTTACAGATAAACTCCTTCATTTGTGATTAGCTTCTCGAGTTGAACATTACCACGGGACACAGTGTTATGCAATGCATATTATCAGCCTCTCAGACACAAAAAGTGCGTTCATAAAGGTTATTATCATGTTAGTCCACTTTATTCTGAGTGTTTGTGAGATGTTTTTTCTAAAGATATCACTATAAAATGGTCGTTTTTTTGTTGTTATTTGCATCTGTTTACATTAAGCACAAACAAGGCCAACTGCAACTTACCCCGCGGCGTAGACATTCCTGAACCCTTTTGCCAGTTAGCACATTGCTATTTCAAGCAGCAGAAACAGGATTAATACATAAAAATAATTTGTTAACGCATACTTTCAACTTTATTTGCTTTTCCAGTTCATGTGGTTCATGCATAGACGAGTATTTGAGTACATGCGTGGAATATTCACAGATCTTTAATTATTTTAAACAATTTACCACAGCGCGCGCACACAAGGGCCTCCCACAATGGCGCGCACACAATGGCAGACTTTGTCTTTTATCAGTTGAGTTCGTTACCAATCAGACACATCACCTATATCCATGTTGCTGTGTTTGCCTATGTTTAAAATCCTCCAGATTACCAGCAAGGCTAATGGTTGAAATAGATAGGGCAAGAGACCTGCTGCAATGCTGTCCACTGTGTCTGCGTTCAGAAGGAAAGAAGTCCTCTTCATTTTCAGTGTTTATATAAACATAATTATCTTTATGATGATATAACTAATTGTGGTTTTGTGAATATGAAATTATGAATACTGTATGTAGCAGGGCATTAAATTACTTACTGTTTATTTATTTGCATTTTAACTTTGTAAACTATAAAATCCGGGGTCTCCTCACAGTTTGTGTCTTATGTTGTGAGCTAACTAACAGTTGTTTACTCCCCTCTTTTATCCTTGCTCTGCCGGCCTTGCCCACTCTTCCCTCTGCTCAGGGAACAACACCAAGCCCATCTCAGCATTTATTTATTTATTTTTAATTCTGAGGTAGACTTGAACTGAAAGAGGGGGGTTTCATGGCCCTTTAAATACCATAATGGGGCACTATGAAATAGCAAACAGTTTTTTTATGCAAATGCTTTTTTGATTAAATAAATGCAGCCTTGGTGACAAAAAAAATTTCAGCAATATTTACAATAAATATTTACTAAATTTCAGCAATATATTACATAATACATGTCTGTGTATGATACATATTTGTGTGTCTAGTGTGTGATTGCCTTTCAAAGACACTATACATTTACAGCAAAGCACCACACCAGCATTTTCTCACACACAGACACACATGCACATTCACTCACTACACTTGTTTTCTCCTCACATCCCTTCTCCTTCTCTCTTCTGTCTTCTTACTGATGTTGTTCTTGTTGTTGACAGTTGTGTGTCTCACGTCTAAATGGTTCTGTCTCTTCACCTCCACCATTCACTTCCCTCTCGCTCCATCTTCCACACACGCCACTCCATTCAATCTCTCATTCATACCTGGTCTACTCCATCACTTCCACTCCGTCATCGCACAATCGTTTGATTTCACTCCATCCATCCTCGCATCTTCCCCCATCACCTCTCATTCCCTCACTCTCCCTCTTCTCCTCTTTTTTTTCTATTCCGTTTTGTCTTCACAGTCACTGTATCCATCAGATTCTAGACAGTGTCCATCATATTCACCAACATGACATAGTGCACAGGGACCTGAAGGTCAGTATGTAGCTCCCACACTGCCTGTGTATGGCCTGTCCGTTTGCTCCTGCTTGCTCCTGTCTTTGTGTGTAGCTGTAGCCCGTCTTGTCTGTCTTTATGTCTGTCTTTATGTGTTTGGCATCATGGGCTTCCCTTAATCCATTGACTGCTTTTCCCGAATCCTCACTTCCTATGCTTGAGTTTTAGCTTGACGCTGTCATGTAGATGATCAAAACTGGGTTATTATTTGCGTTTGAGGTTTTCTTTACAGCTTCAATTTCTCTTACTTTTGAAGTAAGATGGTTTACCCCCAAAAAAGGAATTTCTTGTATCATTTACGCTCCTTTAGTTTTTCCAAGCCTGGACGCATTTCTTTGCATGCACACAGAAGAAAGTAAGTCAGACAGGTTTGGGAAGGCATAAGGGTGAGTAAATGATAACAGAGCTATACCTTAAATGACATTTCAATTCACAAACTCTGTGTTTAAAGTATTCTATTGGTTCTTTTGTACTATATATTTTGTTAGAGGGTTTGTATTGTACTGTTTTGTTTGTCAAAGTGGTTGTTTAAGGCTGGGGTTCTCAACTGGTTTGGCCATGGGACCCACATTTTAACATGGTCATTAAGCCGCAACCCAAATTTTCTGGAACTATAATACAATTATAGGAATTATACTTAATTTGTATTTTTTTGTTAACATAAACAAGTAGTGACCGATACATCATAAGAAATTCACCAAGACTTACAAATAAACACTGTTTTATTGCTTTCATTTAATAAAATGGATCAAATTATAGAATTATTACAAAGTAAAAACGACAAATACTGTTAACAATAAACTGGAAATAAAACATGTTTTCTGGTTTCTAAATGTTGTTTTAATTTAGAAGGTTTCATACTCTTATGAGAGCACCTCACTACATATGACACAGAGGCTATTAAGTCTTTTTTGTTGTCAATATATATATATATATAAATATATATATATATATATATGTATATATGTATATATATATATATATATATATGACATGAAATGAAATTTCACATGTCAAACGGTAGGATTGTCGCGCACGCATTTCAAAATAAAAGTCCGATATAAGCAAATTAAGTAAAATATTTAACTTTTGTTTTTTATTTTGACCACACACTCCGCGACCTACTGAAAATGTTCCCATGACCCACTTTTGGGTCGCGACCCACCAGTTGAGAAACACTGGTTTAAGGTATTCTGGCCCTTTAAATTTTTATTTTCCCCTATTATTTGAGTTTAAAAGGGCCTAAAGTGGTATTTTTTTGTTTTTATTTTAATGGTCAACAGTTTGTGTGTTTACATGGACACCAATAATCTAATAATTGTAATACTATTAAGACAATTCTCTAATTAAGAGTCTACTATGTAAACGGCGATTTTTTTTTTTTTTTTTTTGATCAATTTAATCTGTTTAAGGTCATAATCGCACTAAAGAGAAATTAAATTAAGTGTATGCCAAGTGTATGCCAAGGTGTATGCCAATTTTAGTCGCATTATTAAAATGCAGTACAGACATGTAAACACCTTAATCAAACTATTACCATCGTGTAGGACTTTTCGCTGTGTTTTGCGACAGGATAGTCCACACACACACACACACACACACTCACACATGGTTGTTTGACATTCTTTGCACCTACCGAGTCAGTGCAGACCACAGACATCTCGTGAAATGCCGAGTTTTGTTTTCTTCCATTCCGCATGCGGTATGAACTTCCATTAAAACAACACTCTTTCAGCAGTTCATACTCTCATCCAATATCTCGTTTGTCACAGGGGCATGCATGAAATGTTCCTGAATAAAAGTAAAAGTGTCAAACTGCAGTTAAAGGGCGCACTCACATTATGCTATCCAAGTTTGTTTGAGGAGTGTGGGTGCTCTGAATCTGGCTCAGGCGCAGTTCAGTTCACTTTATATAAAGTGAGTGTTAGAGAATGTGTAAGACCAGATCATTGTTGACTTAAGCGTGCTCTAGCTCAGATGCAGTATGAGTGCAGGCGATCGGGGGAGAAAAGAGGAGAGGGGAGGGGGGACAAGCATGCTTGAGCACAGTTTAAGGCAACTGTACATAGTGTGAGTACACTCAAAGTCAACAAACATGTAAACGGATCATAAGAGCAACGTTTAAAAAGCAACTCCTTTAAACACCTAAATCAGTGGGTCTCAAACTTTTTTCATCAAGTACCACCTCAGAAAAAAATAGTCTCTCCAAGTACCACCAAAATGAACAATATTGAAATACAGTAGTGTAGTAGGCCCAGTAAAGCAGCTACAACCCTGCACAGTTAAAAAAACGTGGCAGATTACCTCAGAAATATAGGCTATATGCCATATGGCATATTATATACATCATTTTTAATAAATTTTGAAATATGTGTAGCATGTACATGACATATTTCATTCCTCCACGTACCACTAGAAGGAAGCCTGCGTACCACTAGTGGTACACGTACCACAGTTTGAGAACCACTGACCTAAATCATATTATTGTGTTATTCAGATTAAGGCAATTATTTGATTACTGGTGTCCATGTAAACATAGTCAGTCATGTCTGATCAATTGAAATTTTTTACAACTTTTAATATAAACATTCTGAAAGTGAAAATGTTTATATTATTTTTCAGAATTTCTGTTGATTTTTCATTTTTCTGCTTTTTTTTATGATTATATGAAACTATACATTTAAGTAGTAATGTGAATTGACTACATGTACTTACAATATGGTTAGTTGCATGTGATTCATGCTATATGCAAAAATGTAACAGGAACTACATAAAACAATATGAAATACAAAATTACATTTTTCAAAATAATGTGTAAAAACAAAAACAAAAAATTTATCATTGATCAAAAAACTAAATTATCATGGGGAAACTCTCTGAACGTCACTGGAGATGAAGTTAATGTGTTTGTATGTTATATAGATCGATGATAGACCCTGAAAACAAAACAAGCATCTTGCATTCTTGAATAAGACAAACTGTATATCAACTTCATTTCTCTTTTTGTACATTAATATTCATAGACACTACTCTATAATATCATGATTCAATTATGTGTACGGCCCTACTTTATATAAAGCGAGTGTTAGAGAATGCAGCCCTGTGGGTTTCGGTACATTTTTAGACATTTTGATGTCCACAGCAGTTCTTTCGACTGGAGATTTTGTGCTGAAACACAGTGACACTTCCTGTCGCACCACTACACACATTCACTTGCTCGCACACAAAATCACACACACACACACACACACACACACACACACACACACACACACACACACACACACACACACATCTACTCTTGCAGAGCAGCCACGATCAGCAGCTGACACTGGGGGAGGTGTGAAGAAATACACACACATAGGCGCGCGATGATAAATGCACAAAACCTTACATGTTTTTAATATATTTATATATAGAAATATTACTATATGCATTCATGAATTTAAAGGCAGCGTAAACAGACTCTCAGTAATGGGTTTTATTCTGAGGTGTCCTGTCTTACACATAAGCCATGACCGTATGTCATGCTCCACGCTCTTTTAATCTGAGACATTTAGAAAGTGAATGCAGCACTTTAATTTACAGCCCTGAACTTTACTGCCATGCCAGAACTTTACACATATGCAGCACACACTGCACATGGATAATAATAATCGCAGCTATAACGTTATTTATGCAGCACTGTCCCTATCAGTAATGCAGCTCAGAACGCTGCGTTAAAGATTAAATATGGTCATTAAGACTAGATTGCTTTAAATGGCTTCCGCTTTTATGTCAGAACTTTTATACTGATTTTTGCCTTTCTATGGCAGAACATATTGACAGAGTGATCTTATACAGTTGAAGTCAGAATTATTAGTCCCCTGTTTATTTTTTTCCCCAATTTCTGTTTAACGAAGAGAAGATTTTTTTCTACACATTTCTAAACATACTTGTTTTGATGGCTCATTTATAATAACGGATTTATTTTATCTTTGCCATGATAGACAGTAAATAATATTTGACTAGATATTCTTTAAGACACTTCTATACAGTTGAAAGTGACATTTTAAGGCTTAACTAGGTTAATTGGGTTAACTAGGCAGGTTAGGGTAATTAGGCAAGTTGTTGTATAATGATGATTTGTTCTGTAGACTATCGAAAAAATATGTATAGCTTAAAGGGGCTAATAATAGTGACCTTAATATGGCTTTTAAAATATTCAAAACTGCTTTTATTCCAGGCGAAATAAAATGAATAAGACTTTCCCCAGAAGAAAATAAATATTATCAGACATACTGTGAAAAATGTTCTTGCTCTGTTAAACATCATTTGGGAAATATTTAAAAAAGAAATTAAAGGGGGGCTAATTATTCTGACTCCAACTGTAAATATGGTTATATATTTTTGACCAATCATTGAAATGATTCTAATTAAAAATTAAATGGTGTCTTCTTAAATTTCATGGTATAACTTTGCCATTCGATTTGGATAAAGGGTCTGTAAAATGGCTACTTAATATTGATTGGACTTATGAAATTTGCTTCAAGGGTAATAGTGTCCAATGCAAAGCTTGATTCCAAAAAAAAAAAAAGTGCAAATTACTTTTGGAGCTTTTATTAAATTTAATGTTAGGCTACTTTTAAAAAGCCTATATTAAAATATGCCTTTCATTATAACATTTATATTTAGCTGAAATGCATTTGATTTCCATAATGAATTTTTAATTCTTCAAGACTTTCTAATCCTTCTGAAAGTTAATTAAAAGTGTGGCTGGGGTAATAATTTATGATACCCTAATAATATAAAAAAAAAACAGTAATATCACAGTAATAATAAACAAATACAGTTTTTACTATTAAAATGTTATTATTATTATCATTATTACAAGTTAAAATAACTTTATCTTTTTTTTTTTTTTTTTAAATCCCTGTGATGGCAAAGCTAAATTTTCTGTCATTAATGCAGCGTTCAGTGTCACACAATCCTTAACAAAT